GTGCTCAATGATAAACAATGAATGCACGCGAGATAAAGCGTCTCGCGTGCCTTTCCCTCGTTCGGATCGATCGTTATCGGCCCTAGGAAGCTCATTCAGTGCCGCTTATCGCCGATAAACTAAAACACTTCCCCAGTAAAAATTCCCCTTCGTAAATTACCGGGTAATGGGATTCTGTGTATTTGTTTTTTTTAATTCCGAGAGAAATATACACGGTTTGAATGACACAGTTTGTGATTTATCGCCAACTTTAATGAGCAAAAGTATAACAAGCAACGACAAAACAATAGCAGTAAATTTTATTTAACTTCCTTCAATCCTCAGTTTTCTTCCATCGTGACTATTTAAATAAACGCGACAAGATTGAGCTCACACTTAAAAGAGATCCTTTTGCAATTATAACCAACCTTCAACTTTCACCGAAACTCCTCAAATAATCACGAAAAGACACGGAGCAATCACGGCAAAAGCAAACATGGTGCAGCCTTCATTGAGACACCCACGACACGAGGAAACGTTCCAGCAAAGGTCGCGATCTATTTTACAATAATCAACCTTCGCAACGCTTCGTTAATAATGCCAAACAACTGCTTCGGGAATGCTCGTGCGTACGTATGTATGTTCGCGCGAGTCTAACTGCAAACGTTCGGCAAACATCCTACATTCTAAATCCCGGAGTACACAGGCAGGTCTGTATCTATGTAATTGTCGGCCAGATGCGCTGAACGGTCATAGGGTTAAAGGCGCTCGCCGCGAACAGCAAGGCCCACCTACGTTCCCAACGCGCACAATGCAAACAAAGAATCTGATCAAGAGATCACCGGGTCTCTATCGTTACGGCGCCATCGGGGACGATCACCCACGCGTCGATCACGAATCGTCGAGAGTTCTCCAAACTGATTCGCTTACCGATTAATCGAGAGAGCCGCATGCCGCAGCGACCAGACGAAATCGAACGAAACCAACGCGATCCCTGGCTCGTCGTAGATCTTGATGTAGCACTCAAGGTCACGTCGTCGAACGCGTTTGTTGCGAGTCACAGAGAGACGCGACGCGGGCAGAGTTCGTCGAACACGGGCGTGGCGTTCGCCAAAAACTTCAGCGATACACTGGCCAGCCGAGTGAACAGAGACAATGAAAAGAAACGAGACGAGACGAGACGAGAGCAGCGTAGACTCTGCTCCTCAGTGGAGAGGATCGAAGAAACGCGGCCGGTTCGCGGATCAGGAATATGATGCCACCTTGGTGAAAGCCTCCGCGAAGAAGAGGCTCCCTTACCGCACCGAGTGCCGCTCCCGCTAAGCGGAAGATTATCTAAATAGACTCCGTGCTACCAGGCAGAAGAGAGAGGGAGAACGGGAACCGGGAGGAGAGAGGACACTGAAACGAGGTGGTATTTATACGTTGTGTCTTTTGGAGAGCCAGTGAATCCACGACCAGGAACATCCCTTCGCGTGCCTCCGGGGGAGTGGCACGCAGAAGTATGATGCCATCTCTCGATGGTACTTTCATCTTTTCGCGTTTTCGTGGCCGAACGAAAGGAAGGCTCAGCGAGTGGTCACTCTCGAGACAGTTGCGAAGAATCTTTCTATCGACGAGAAGGAAAGAATCGTTCCGGAGTGAAAGAATCGTTCACTCTTTGATAGTTGTAGATATATTTGAGATAGTAAGAGGAACTTCTAAATTGATTTGTCTCTTAATTACGCGTATCTGATTGGAAAGCTAAGGGATCTCGAGACCAGTAATGAATCGATCGATGAGATTCTCTTATCGTACTCTCCTTTCAGTTTAAACGACGTTCTTCTCATAAAAATGTTTGTAACGTTGTATTTTACAAACTACACGCTCTACTTGCGAAACATGCTCTTATTTCCAAAAAAACTCTTTAAGTCAATGACACAAGAAAATTACGCTCTAACGCACGAATACTTGAAACAAACATTTCACTAAATAAACATTTACAAACATCAAAGAAACAATTACAAAGATTGTAATTTTCTATAAAGGAAAATGCCTTGAAAATCTATGAATTATTTCTACATGATCAAAAGGTAATTAACTACATAATTGTAGTAAAGAATGATCATAAAGTTGCGTCATCTTACGACGTGCATCCTTCCAATAATTATCACGCCGAGCGGAAACCTAAAATCGTTCGAGATGTAACGCGACTGAGTCAGTAGCCAAAGAATATCAGAATTATCGTCGGATAAATAAATTCTATGCCGTGTAACTGGTTAGGCATTCGTAATTGGTCATCGAGTGTTTTTGGGAAAATAAACGCAAGGGGGGGGGGGGCGGAAATACTCAAGCGAAGCTGGACTGGGGTAAATTGATTCTTCACAGACGATTAAACAGAATACCGTGCTAATGATTCTCCAAAGCGGCGGATTCTCATATGTTATTTTCATTGCCGTAATGAGATTATCCATTATCTATAAATATCACGATTCTTCTCTCGTTTCTCCAAAGGTTCTCCGATATCCGCGTGTTGAAGTACGAAGGATCTAAGAACGTAACGAGTGACAATCGCGTAATTTCCATTAGCAACGTGAAAAATCCTGCACGAATATATTTCCGCACCTGTCTTGATACAGCTGCCAAAACCGATTGCTCAGTCTGGCGTGCGGAATTCCTCCCTCGATGACGCAACGGTGAATACAATCATCGAAAAACACGACTTGTGGCATTCGTTAAGCCAACAGCGGAAAATAATGTACATATAAGAGCGAAGGAATTTGATCTTATTTACGCTTGTTGTGCACGGAAGTTGAAGCAAGTATTACGGCTGTGTTTCGTAGAATTAAATCGAGAATAAAGGCCGAGAAATAAGATACTCGAGAGAATAATTATTGCGAAACAAAACAAAAATAATAACAATAATAATAATAAAATAATAACAATAATATGCCCTTCTCTTCTTAATTATAAGTTTATAAAGAGAAGATTTTAAGAAACCTTTCTATACATTGTCCAAACATTGCAACCAGTATTGCACCTCTTGTATTATTCTCAAGTCCAATGTTGCACAGAATACCACTTTCTGTACAAGTTTAGTACGTAAAATAATTTTAAACGAAGATTCCAGTCTTCCACTTACGTTCCTAAAACTATGAATTTGCTTAAAAATTCGCAATCTATCTATCACCGCGCGAGTATTAGCCACTTGCACTGGCAACTGATTGCGGACCATAACGAGTGACCAAATCTACAACAGTTCGTCGCTTTCTTTTTGAACACGTCAGTATGATATTCACTGGATAGCAATTATTGAGAAGTAATAAATTTATTACTTGTTTTGCCTATTTTGTTTTACTTAAGTATACTTAAAACTGAGAAAATATTACAATTTTGGAAGAAAAAATTCTCGATGTGCGTGGCACGTCGTTCCAGCGCAGGAGGTTAATTATATAACTCAGGTCAATTTGTTACTCCTCATTACGTTCGAGTCAAACATTCATCTCCCTTCCATAATCACTAACCCCAGTTCTGTATGCTAACGTACCCGGAGGACAATCATTTCTTCTCCTTAATTACATTTCAAATTATTAAAAGAACACCAAGACGAGACAAAAGTCAGGCGCGTCAAGAACGTTCTTCTTCGGTTCTCTCGCACCTTTCTCGCCCTTTTTGCCCGGCACGTTCTTCCGCCGTTCGAAACGAAGGATCAAGATATATATTCGTCGGTAACTTCCGCGCGATTTATCGTCCCCGCGGTGATCCTCTACGAAACGAGGGGGGAAAAACGTGGCAACGTTCGTTACGGTTCGTCGTCTCGGTGCAACGTAATGGGCCACGACGACACAAGAGAGACATAAGAGACGAACACACGCGCGTCCTCTCCTCCCCTGCGCACAATGCCACGGCGACTCGTTCTTCCCTCGCCCATCGTCAGACGACCGCAACGACCGATAAACTCAAGGCTTCCGGCATTGCCGAGATTACCGGCGAACCTCGAGACTTTCACCGATCGAGAAAAAAACGAGACGATTCTTTTCCGCTTGGAACAACGGACGATCGAACATTATATTCATAAATAGCGGGGCAACGTTACTCCATTGTAATACTTTCACGCGTGGTTATCCTCGGCCCGTGGCTCCGTTCCACCGAACCGATACGCTTCGTGATCCCGCTGCACACCGGAAGGCGGAGATTTGAACAGGTGGAGGGGTATTTTGCTTCAGATGTCCCGATATCTTCGTCGAAGAGAATGGATAATGCACGTTTCCATTCGGCCTGGCGGAATTATCTGGGGGAGTAAGCTGCCGGCCGAATCAACGTTCGATCAACTCCCGTTGAGATCGATCGACGAACGAATCAACCTCTCGATTAATGTTTCGCTTCGGGGGAGGATGTGGATCGTGTGGATCGTGGATCGATCGCGCTTTGCAGGGTTAACTTTGGCAGGTGATTCATCTTAGTCGAGGTGGTTTCTAAATGCGAAAAAGTAAGCGCGTGTGATATACTAGACTGACACGTTTCTGCGTGTTGTTTGTTGGAAGGGGCCAACTTAAGATTAAAGCCACGATGGCACGATTTTGAATAATTGAACTAATGTCACTGGCGAAGTTTTACAAGAGGCAAGTCGCGGGTGATAAATTGTCTCGCTGTGAAAGTAAGAAGCACGACGATAAAAACAAGTGGCTTCAGAGGAGAATGATTGTGAAAAATTGCAGCTACAAGGAGACTTCGAGACTTTTCCGACAACTTTTGTAAACGAAAGGGATTGTTTGAAGATCGAGTTCTTTTTCAAACATAAAAATTTACAATAGAGCAAAATTACAAAAACATACTAAATTAACGCAATTGGTCCTTCAAATTATCACGCAAGATGATGTTCAAGTTCAAGTACGTCTCGCGATATAAAAATATCAGTCAGACAGAATTACTAATATACGAGCGGTGTATGTACACAAAAAGACTAAGATATCAAGTAGCGATGTTTGCTTTTAATAATGGACGATAAGAAATTGCGCGAAACAACGCGTATATGTACTTACTCCTGCAATGGTTTGAAAACGCTTTCCTGGATGCCATCCACGTAATTCCGCTCGATCGCCGCGCAGATATCCATAACAAGCACTTCCTCGAACCCGATGATGTCTCGTGCACGAGGAATTATCATCGATCTATTATCTCCACGATCGAATGCAATTTCGTCACGTTACACCTCGAAACGAAAGGATTCTTCACTGTTGAACCGGCCGCTGACGAACGATTGTTAAATCGGTGTCGTCCGATTTCGTGCATTACTCGAGAGCAATGCAGCGTGCACGCGCGCACGGCAACGATAATAAACGTTCAACAAATCTAGATGTTCCACTTTTGTCTCTTGCGTTCGTTCATTTCCGAGTTCGGAATCGAACCGGCTCGTTTCTGAAGCCGATTTCAACTTGAAATCGAACCGATCAAAAAAGACACAGAGCGGATCGTGGCACGGTTATGATCGAAAAATTCGTCCGATTTCGCACGATCAGATCGAGATTTCGCTTACGTTCGTGGCAGCCTTATCGTCCGCGAGATAATATTATCATAATGTTGCGCTCGCGAGTTCGCTCGTTGCGTAGATCGCCAACGATACACGAGATTTTCCATTTCGACATTGGCGAACGGAATGTCTCTGTCCTCGTTTCGGACCACTAGTTTCGGAGAGGTAATCTTAAAGTCAATGTGACTAGATTAGCAGATCACGAATTGGTTTGTTTCTTTTTTTTTTTTTTTTTTTTTGTGAATGGAGAACAACGCGTACGTGTATGTACAAACGTACACGTACGTACACACACAGCGTACGAATATCGTATCAAGCTGGTGGCATTCTTCACGATTCTTCGAGCGCGCGAGATCGCTTTTCTCCGCTCTTAATTAATCACGAATGCACTCGGAATTAAACGCACGGAATTCAACGGCAAACGGCTACCATCCGAGAGCACTTTCACTCGACCATCTTTTCTTTTTCCCTTTTTTTTTCTCCTTCGATACGATTCGATTTTCGGCTGCTGCTCGGTTAATCGTTCACGCGGAACGGAAAGACGAAAAAAACAGTTCGACAGTCGCGCGAGAGAACGAACGACGAACAAGCGACGACGCACACCGCGAGCATCAATATACTTTTTCTTTCCACTGGCTTCGTACTTTTATCTTAATCGGCTCGTAAATGCACACGTATCGCTTTTATCAGTTCACGAGAAACGACAGATCGTGAACGCTTTGATTCGCTTGACGAACTGCTCGACGATTGCCCCGATGGACAACATCAATCCCGTCCACTTACTCGACACTCGGAATTGTATTCCGTAACAGTAGCACATTAACGATGCTAATGCGAACCACTTAAACCAGTTTCGCTGAGAAAATCGGCCGTCTCCTTCGCGTCGTGGGGACGATTAATCGATTAATTGCTGGCGCATGAAAGCGTCGAACGGAATCGCATCGGCGATCACCGAGAACGAAATGTCTGCTTTCGCCGTCGTGAACATCCGAGCTTTCCTTCCCCCCTGAGAAGCTTTCAATTTCTAACGACCCACTACTCGATCCTCATCCTCCGAGCCACTTAACCTCTCGCATCCAGTCCCACCTTCCAGGTTAACCAGCCTTAAAACCGGGCACTCGTACACACGCACGAGCTTCGAAGCACGGCGCATCTAACACCCGGAGGATCACGAATCTTGTTCACGAAAAACCAACGCGAAACCAGCGAACCGTCGAATCACAGAATCCATATCCGACACTTCTCAACAACAGACGTTACACCATGACTTTCCTATCCGAAATCCACTGAGCCATCCAAAAAAGAATTTTTCAAATGTTGCTCCGATCGTCGATGCTTCTCGACCGTGGTGGACGAGGTCTAGGTCCAGTAAGCAGGATAATCGCACGCACCTCCTGATCGAGAGGATCCTGATCGAGAGACTCTCGATCGTCGATCGTTTCGCGATCCGTGAATCGTGTCCAGTCGGCTCACCAGAGTTTAATTAGCGGCGCGATCGGCAGAAGAATCAGCGCGCGAGTGAACACAGAGTCGGAGCATCGACGAGGACGACGGGACGAGGACAACGACGAGCAAGTGCGCTCCACGGATCCAGACGTTGGAACCGCTCGGCGACGCTCAACCGTTCTGGTGTAATCGAGGCGATATACACACGGCCGATGCGGTTTTACGGCAGAGAAAGAGAAGGAGTGACTAGCGAGAGAAAGAGACAAACAGAGAGAGAGAGATAGAGAGAGAGAGAGAGAGAGAGAGAGAGGAAAAGAGAGGGGAAGACAGATAGAAAGAAAGAAAGAAAGAAAGAAAGAAAGAAAGAAAGAAAGAGAAGGGTTACATCAGATCACCGAGACACGCTGCACGTTTCACAGTCGAGACGACGACAGACTGATCGAGAACGGATCTCCGGTGTGCACGGACGGGCCGCGGCGAACGTCGACGATGACGACGACGAAGACAAAGACGAATTGGAGATCGACAAATGGGTATACGGATCCAGCTGGGCACCACGAAGCTGGCCCGATTCGACACGAGAGACCATGGCGTATGTGCACGAGCCGAGCCGGACCGCCACGGTACGAACCGGTGCGAAGGAAACCTTCGACGGTCGCGAGAGAGTGTGCGAGAGAGACCTGAACGGGGCCCAATCTCACTAGAGGGGACCTCTATAGCGCCTTTCCCCTAACTCCGACGCCACCGTGCTCCGACTCGCGTGTGGACACAATTTTCTCTTCGCATGCGTTTTCTCGAACGCGTTCAGCGTTCGTCCTCTTGTCTTGCGTGTATCAAAGGCTTCCTTTCGTGCTGATTAAATTTAATTCAAGCAGATGATTCTTTTCGAGATCCGAATGTCATCGAGTGTTTCAGAGTAGAGATCGAGTATTGTGCAAATGCGGCTCATAGTATAAGAACGTTCAATATATATATATATATATATATATATATATATATATATATCGATTTGATTTCTGTGAAGTTCTTAGCGGGAATTCGTCCAGGTTCAAACACCGTTCATCGATGTAATACACGAATTTCATGTTACGATTCTTACACGGTGATTTTTATTTTCTCGCGATAGTGTTACCTGATCGACTACGACAGAGTATGTTTGCACGAAGGTGTCCAGAACAACAGAGATTGAAATAAGAGTGCAAACTAAGACGAAATCGTCGACACAAAAAGAGTCGACTATATCGTGTTTCCGATAACTCTAATACCCTTCCTACACGAATAAGTTCATCGAACAGTATAAACATTCTTCCATTTCAAAAACAGTGCTCCTGGCGAGCATCTCCGTTCGCATTACAAAACGAGGAGTCAGCTCGAAGTTCGAAGAAATTGCGTTTATACCTCTTTCTTTTTAAATGAAAATTTAATTTGAAACGAACTCTCCATCAATCTCCAAATTCACGGAACAGTACGCGTTTAATTTTAAATCAACTTGCACGGCATTACAGTTTTTCTCGGAGAGCGTTCAACGCGAAACGCAAAGTTGTTCCAGCAACTTTTTGTTGAATCGATTCCTTTCCCGCAGCGCGCGCCGTGTTAACCCGCTTGAAAAGCGAAATACCAATGCACAAATTTAATTATAGTTCGGTGATTTATTCCGGAGCGCCTCAGCTTGACGTGGGTAACAGTCTTCCGTGAAAACTTCGAGCTCCTTTGAACAATGTTAATTCAATAAACATCTTGCTGTAACAATTTGCAGTTTCATTCATTTTCCATATCACGTTCCATTAATATTTTTTCCATGTAAATTGTGTTTTAATTCTGCACGTACGTAATATTTTATTACCGATCGTACGTGCAAAATCTTCAATTTTAAAGTATAGATAAGTCACGAGTGAACAATTAAGAGTAATGATAAAATTTGCTTCTCCCCTTTACACTTTTTCAACAACCACGTTTCTGTTCTTAGTTCTTTCATTTAAATAGAACTCCTCCTTTTTCAAATAAAGAATTTTTCTTCCAATGCAGAAATTTCGTTGTGAGCATTAGGCATTATTGTACGAGTTAGTTAGATGTTCAAATTGCATGCTCTCGGGTTTCTTATGCTCCTGCATTCTTTCCAATTACAATGGAACGACGCGTCGACTTATTATCTCTTGATTCGCCCATTTTCCGTTAAGTATCTGCGAAATCACGTGCCGGTCGTTCATTGAAAATCTATTTGCGTTGGCTTTGCTAACTATGTAACGACGGAGCCACGAGACTTACCATTCACGAGGCCGAGATGCGCCTTCAAGAATGGAAACGGCGGCAACATTGTACGGCGATGCTTTCGGCCGACACCTAAATTGAGAGCCAGTTTAAAGCTAATTTACACTTGCACGACGTTAAAATGAACTGTCACATTATAATTTCCGAGACAAATATTAATCTTCTTATTTTCGTTTCTCACTAACATCGGAAGGATCAGCCAAGTAATGGATCGGTAAATGTCTTCAAGGTCTTCGTTTCGTGTCTTCGTATCATTAAACATTCGTACGAAATTATATAACGAAGCGAAAGAATTTTAAACCAAAAGACTTACGATGTTTGTACGCGCAAAATCTTTTATCAAAGATATGATTAAATACACATCACTAGATAGGATTGAATTATTCATACGTGGGATGAAAATTATTCATACGCCCTCTGAGATTGCCAGAAAAAATCGTGCGTAAAATTTGGCGAATTATATTAAAAGATGATTTTAGATGAATAATCTAAACTGAGAAGAACAGAGAATTTCGAGGGTTCGAGGGATTGAGAGCAATTCCGCACATTCGCGCTTACATATTTATAGCTTTTGGACTAGCCAATTTAACTTCGCGAGTCTATGAAACGCATCCTTCGCTCTAGGTCTACGTTGTTAGAACGTAGTTGCGCTCCTATATTCTCCTATATCATAATTTGTACGGCAATCGTGGCGATCTTCTTCTCTCGAGAGAGTAGCAATGGATCGCAATATCCACGATCCCCCTTGATATTAGATATGCCTACAATAACGAGCCGTTCCACGTACTTGTACATCGAGTGCCAACTATGGTAGAAATTCTTCTCGTAGCAGTGGCTCCGATCGAAGATACCATTACTCCCACATTATTATTTCACAAACCAATTTTCTGCTTCCTCGAAGCAATCCTTTTGCATTCTTCTACTTTCGGTCGACGATTACTTACGCTCAATCCTTTCGCCCCCACTTTCTTTCTGCTGTTTCTTACGAAAATTGAACTCAATCAAAAAGCACAACGCACATAAACAGCAATAACTAAAAGGCGACAACTTTTATCGAAATTATCGAATTACGTTGGTACAATTGAATTACGGGGTTTTGTTACGCAATCGAAAGGCGAGGACTACGACCATCTCGTTGTCTCGAGAATATCTCGTTCATTACGCAGTACGCTATTGTATTCGATGACTAACGAAGAGGCTCGCGTGAATTCTACCATGTTCCATTCAATTGTACACTTTCCAACATATTCTGTTATTAACGTCCGATCGAGGGATCCACCGAACACGTATCATTTAAAGTATCAAACACACTGTTGCTTGTAACAACGCCACTTAAATGCAATGAGTTAGGTATTTTAATATGCACTTGTACCTGCATGCTTTCGTGTAAGCGTTGGAAATTAGTTTGCAAAACATATTTCGCAGCCCAACGTTTTTTGAATGTTCTTACTGCTGAACTATAACTCCATTGTCTCGCGAGTTTCGTTGTTAATGGTATCGGCGTGTAACCGATTAAGTGAAAGCTCCCTGTCGTTGTATTTAGACAACTTTATGGGACATCTTTACTTCACAGCCAGCATAGTCAAAGGCAATCAAAGGTTTTGGTTCGCGACTGCATTATCAGTCAGAGATCTTATCTGATTTCAGGTTTATTTGCATTTGCGGTACCAAAATGGCTGCTCGCCACGGAAACCGCAAGCAGGTAATTCGAAACCATTGAACTACATTTTCCATAGGTTAATCACCGACAATGCTCGACTCTTGGTAACACGCATACATTAACTGCGATACTTTCATTGCCTTGTCAAGGTACGCTTTACTAAACGATCCTATTCTTCCATCGTTATCTGCCATCAAAGCACGAAATTCTACTTATACGTTGATGTAAGGAAACTTTACATGAATCACAAATTACGCACTCTCAAATTTCTCAGACTGTAATCTTTGCATTATGTTAAATTTTGTTATTTAAATATGTATGTATTTAAAATATATTAAAATTTTATCACGATAAATGTGTCCCTTAAGACTTATAGTAAATAATTTAATTTTCTTAAAATATGAAATTTTGTGATAGAATCTAATTTTATATTATATTATACTATATTTATGGTGTACTGCAATTTAAAGTTTTGAACTTCAAAACTCATTCTTCAAGGAAACTTTGTTATTCTTTTATAGTATGTATGTTAAAATAAGTAAGTTGAATCATTAATAAATAAACCTATTTATAGTATTTTAATTATTTATAATTACTAATCACTAACAATAATTAAGATAATAGATTTTGTCAAGCTACACTCAAGTATTGAAGAAACCGCCATACTAATCCTCCTTCAAAGTGGAGGGGAAACACTACCATAGCGCCATTAACAGTGCGCTTACTAACGCGTATGTGGCACTAATATTAGCAGGACGTTTTTCAAATGGTTAAAATATTTGAAATCTGGTGACTTGTCATAATAACGAGTCAACTTACCAAAGTAATTTCATTTAGTAGACGTGAGTAAACTTGAAAATGATACACCTTTAAAGTTGCAATTGATAACCAATCATGTGAAGTAAGAGATATAGTGAATAACTCGTTGAAGATTGTTGCGTAAAAATATCAAAATAAAAACTTGTTGATTTGATATTTGTATCACTGGAAAGAGCAATTATATTCTCAACGATGTTATACTTTCCTATGAATTATAAATGAATTTTATCAATTATATTGTTTAACATTAATAACTTTTATATTCTTTTTGTTATATTAATTACTTACTTTGAATTTGTCTAAATTGGAAGCTTCAATTCAAAGTCGTATTGAGACATGAGAATGAAAGCAATATTTCGTTGAATTTATGCTAGTGCTAGTACCTTTTAGTTTATGGAATTTGTATGTTGGTAGACCTTCCACGTGTTGACGCCCAAGCCATGAATATACTAACAAGTGGGTAGTATTTATTAATTGAATCATTCATGTTCTCTAGTAGCTAATGAACGCAACCATAGTCATACGTGAATTTTTATTTTAACACAACCATAACCATGTTGGGGTCTTGCTGGTCACCATTTGTCTGGACCAATAATGTCAAGACGGGATGCAAAGCTATTGCTTTTTACACAGTTGTATGTATCTTCAGTTAAAAATCACTACTACAGTTAGTTTTATGTAATTTCAATCTACTTATTCCTTATTACAGGCTATCAGTATAATATCTATTACATTGGTTTGTTATCAATTGAATGGAGGGGATTCATCTCAAATATATAATCCCTTGTTTGAAGCTGATGTTAGAGGATGTAAGTAAAAGTAATTATGTATATAATAATATATGTCATTACATTTACAAATTATGTGTAAATGATGTATATGTTTTTCAGCAATGCAAATTGGTGGAGGATTCATCATCTTCTATTTGAGTCTCTTAATTATATCAAGTGGTTTGATGATACATGGATTAAAAGAAGGAATAAGAGGATGGTTACTTCCCTGGCTTATATTGTGGTTCATTGTATGTTTGTTCCAATTAGTTTTTGGCCTTTGGCTTGTAGGAGGATATTACATCTATGTAAGTCTTGTATATTCCACAAACTTTGTTTTCCACAGTTCATAAATAATATTTTACTGCTATGTTTGTAGCTTGAGGCAACATTTGCAGCACTGTGTATTTGGCTTTGGATGTCTTATAATGTAAGCACAAAACAATACTTATTGATGTATTCTTTTATTATATTTACATTATATTTATTTAATTGTCTTTTCAGATATATTGTTGGTTAGTCGTACTGTCAATGTACAAAATATTTGAAGAACTACAATCTCCAAATATAGAGCTTCTGTGGCCTTGAATAGGTGTATGATACTAGTAATAAGATATAAAGTACATTGATTGGCACCAAAGTATCATACAGCGTCTTTAAAAATGCTAGTATAATTTTTTATTTTTGTTATATACATTTTCTTCAAAAGAAAAACTGTTTATTCATAGAGATGATATTATTTAAAAACTAATTTAAATTGAACAAAAATCGTATTATTATGTGTTCATCTTAGTTATGCTTATTTATTTTGACATACCTAGTATTACAAATACAGGTATACCATACTTACGTGTCATTAATGTACAATTAGCTCGATGCTTTGAAAGTTTAAAAAGTTCAAAACTTTCACATTTTAACAAAAGACTGATAATGGTCTAAAGAAACACCCGTCCAAATTTCAAAGTACTCTTGTGAACAAAATTTTATACATGGTTGCTTTACACGACCAAAAGAAATGTAACAAACATTTGTAACGAATAGAACCTCATTACAAATTTTTATATGAGATATTCTATGACATTTATAAAAATTTTGTATGTTTGATATGAATAAAAGAAAGTAAGTTAATATGCCTTCAAAAATATTATATTAAGAACAAACATAAACAAGCTTAAAATCCAATGCGTAAAAATGAGGTTATTTGAATAGATACTCGGAAATAACTAATCTAATTAGTATTGAAATATTTTGAACTGTAAAAGATTATTCGATTAACAATTCAAAATTATGCAATGCAAAAACTAGCTACGAAATAACTCAAATAATTATGTAACTTACATCTTTAACGTTATCTTACACCATTAAGCAAGTTTCTTCGTAAACGCAAGTGCCATCTACCGAGCCATCTAAAACTAAACTGAAGTTAGACGCGCAGTTAAAACGCGCGAAAAATATATTTTTAATTTTATTTTATTTTGTCAGAAAATATTGTGAATATCCATTTTAAAGAGAAAGAAATAGAGTTATTTCTATTTTTTCTCAAATTGTCGTAAATAGACGGTAATACTTGATAAGTTTAAATAAGTTGGAATACGTTCATGATAGATGGCGTAAAGATGTACTCATTCCTGTTTCAAAATTACTACATAATATTTAAAATATCGTCAAACATTGAAATACTTACTATTCAAAATAATTACTTTTCAGTAAACAATTTCTAAATCACGAAAAATAAATTCATTTGTTATGTATGTATATTTGTGTATGTTATGTTTTGTAAATAACTGTGTATTACAATAATGATTTCTTCAACATATCTCTTTCTTAACTCGACTCGTCAATCTAGGCATTTCTTTTAATAAAGATATAAAAATGTGAAATAAATTCTAAATTCATCGACCTATCCTTAAAATTGAAAGCATGATATAGTTAGATCAAATATGATTAAGGCATTATCGATGGAAACAACGTTTTCCAAGTCTTTTTAAAGTTGTTATATTCTTAATGTGGTAATTAATGGACCGATTTGAAGAAATCCTGTCCCGAGGACCACCATGTTCGTCTCTCGAAGTTAATATTAATGAGCCTGGCGTTAGTGACATGTTTCATATCTTACGTGTAATTAACAACTCCGGTTGTCTTCGAAGGAGAGAGCGCGTGACAAATTTCCACAAAGTTTGCCGCCCATGCAAATTAAGATAATGATCAACGACAATGATGCAAATTATTTTGAGAAAGTTTAATTTATTGTTATAATCAGTGACGATGCCGAATCGAATAACCGATGGAATTAAATCGATTTCATTATCCGCAATTCGAATATTCCGTAAGCTTCGACAGTATTCAATTGTCGCATCTGTAACTCGTATTACGTCCGTCAAAATGAAATTTAACAGTTGTGTTTCATAAATTCGTCAATAAAATTATTATTCGAACTTTAGTTTAGAGATTCCATTAACTTCGAATGATTAACAGAACATAAATATATCCGCTTGGCACCACAAAACGGTATACAAACCAACAAAACACCGAGCAAACGAAATTTACAACCGGAGATATATTTTTCCGGCCCGACTTTCGACTGTCGACAATAGTTTCGCGAAAGATGGTAGGCATAATAATGTACAATCTTTATTGTCACGACTACTTTCACTTCTGAACCGACCACGCCCGTAGTAATCGATCGCGATGATCATAAGCACCTCTAAGCATTCGAATAACGTTTACTCGTATTTTGAAGCCACTCAGGTCTGTTCTATTAACGAAATTAATTCCAATATTGAACTGATTCTCTCGTAATAGTTCACAATTAGTGAATTTTATCGATAATTGGGAAAGAAAATTATTGCGTTAAAAATATGCAGGTTCGTGTAACTTCGATTGCGTTAATATTGAGTAATCATTAAGGGTTAAGACGATTGATGCAATGTTTCATTTTCCAGTTAATTGGCATCATTGAATTTGTTTTTGAAGATTGCGATTAGTAAAAAATTCCTTAAGACTGGCTTTTCCAAATCATTGTTCCATTACGGTGGTCAATAAATTCATATTTTGATTCTAATCGAATTCGTAGGTTTTTTTTTAGTTTTTTAAGTAGTAGAAATCACGAACGAAACTCTTCGAATTTATTTCAACGTAAGAACATTGTGCTATTAAAATTTCAATCTGTTTCTTGCGGCGTGGACAATCGCGAACATAATACTCGACTGTTTTATAATGTCGTCATAAATATCGAACTTGTCACGAAATAAAAAGCAAAGAATTAGAACGATACTCGAATCCGCCGGGATTGGCATTGAATACACGTCGACAAGGAGTTTCACGATTGTTTGCCGTGCAGGTAGCATTTCTTGCAACGCAGTCTTTCCTTTTCTGATAGCTCTACATGCGTATATACAACCGCATTAAATTGTAGGCGGCGTAGAAGTGGCTGATAAGACTGATATCGCGCGCATGAGGCGTCCATAAATGGCGTGTAAAAGTATGAATGGAACATTCTTCTTCCACCGATAAAGCGAAGAGAAAATACTTCTCTTCTTTATAGCTTTCTTCGAAATGCGTATTCGAGAAACGCGAACTATGAGCTGACGAATTATTCAACGTTTCGCAGAATGCTCTGTTTAAAGAATTAGTTTAGCTTTTCGTTAAGGACTCTCTATTACAAATGAGAGATATTTTATTCTAAGACAATTCAAATCAATAAAAAAACAGATATAATATAACAAATCATATTACGGCGAATATTTTGTAAAATTATTTCGTTTCTCTCTAGTTTTACTGTTTAAACTTTCTTTTGCTCATAACTGCGTATGCAATGACAAAGATTACGAATTTCTGTGCATTTTAAAATTTGCATTTTGCATATAAATAACATAATCAATTCATCACTTTGCAGCTTTGATTTTCCCATAAAATATTCTACTAACGATGATATAAAATACATTTAAAGTTCTATGAAATAGACTTAAAATATACTTAAAGTTAATACTCAACAAAATTCGCTATCGTTGTCTCGATCATAATGTAATATTCTACTTGAAAATTCCCATAAACCAACTCTCCCATAAATTATTTCTAGCACGAACGAGTCGCGCGCACACTCGCTGGATATCGTTAAAACGTAATCGATATGAAATAAAGAATCGTGATAGATACTGTAATAAAAGTGATGGTTGCGAGATTATTCGAGCATGAAGCTTCGAGCGAGTCGTCCAAGCGGCGTAAAGGGAACGACGCGAATTCTAACGATGACACTCGCTCGTTTCGTAAGTTCACTGGTCCGCAGATCCAACGTGTCAGATAAGACTTGGAACTTTCGCTGTCCGCTCGTTGCGTCCGCATCTAACGAGATGCGACAGAGTTAATTATTGTTTCAGTTATTGCGGGAACGCTTGACACTCGAGCTCGTTCGATCTCGCGCTTCTAAAAGAAAAAAAAAAAAAAAAAAAAAAAAATGCGAGGACGCGCTTATGGTAATGCGAGCTAACGTGCGCGCCGGCACAATAAAACAGATACAACGAGACGAGTGTAAACGAGAATGTGTTCAACGTGTTGTAATCGACGTGTCCAGATCTAGAAGAAATAGGAAAACTTCGAACGATCATGCTCTGTTGAATAAAACAAACGCAGTTCCAGAAACTTCTGCCGGGGCGATTTACATAGCGTGGCTGATCATGACTGAGCGTATTTACGTTTTACTGTCAACTGTGTTAATTTCTCGCCTCGGGAGAGATATCGTCGCGGTTATTATTATGTTACTAAATCAAATGCCTGTGGTCAAATGCTTGTCGCATTCGTTGAAGCTCCGCTTTGATTCTGACTTACAATTAGTTTACACTCGATGGAATGTCTACGATTTTTGTTTGTCACGATATCAAAAGCGAACGAATGAGATAAATAATATATTTGAACAGATAAAGAGAAAATAAAATGGCACGTTTTAAAAGAAGACCTCAAGCATATGAGATGTCAGAAATATGAGATTAGTTAAACTAATGTAAAGATTTATATGAAATTTCTGGAACCGATGCACGTATCAGCTACAGGTATTTTATCAAAACGATACCTTTCGTTTAATTAAAAATTTGTTGTTTTTACGTTATCACCTCGCCATATCTCTTGCAGTAGCTATACGACGTGGACTTCGATCGACGTGTTTCTTTTCTTTTTCTTTTTTTTTTTTTCGCGACAAGGTTGAGTTCTACGCGTTAACGCGGCGCTGATTGTGCGACACGAGTTTCACGCAACGCGTGTTATGCATGTGCGATGTAAAGCGAGCACGAGCATCGACAACTCGCATCCGTGATACGATTAGTCGTGATCTTTTATGGGAGCATAATGCTTGGTCGCGGGGATGCCTCACAGTCGTTACAGACTTCCGTCCGTCCCTTTTGTCACGCGCTGGTCCCTTTTTCCCTCGATTATTCGCGCGTATTTTGCTTGACGGAATCGTAAATCGCGAGACTAGCCTAACGAACGGTGGACAACGAGTCGTGAAACGGCCAACAAAGAGAGCCTCGTCGAAGCGAGGTGCCGATGATCAATCGGTTGCGGCGATTATAATTGCTTGAAATTTATCGAGCATTATACCCCACTTGCTTCTACTCGAACTTGATCTCTGATCTTTAGATCGTGGTAGGTGTGCTGTATCCTCTTATTGTAAATTATTATTGCTTGAACAGAATAATAAATTCTGTATTCTGAAGTAGTAAAAGACCTTTTTCCTTGATTGATATTGTACACCAAGAGATGGGAAATTTTCCGAATTTATTTGACACCATGTCCACATTTCGCGATGAGATAAAAAAATTAACTAATCTTGCTACAAATCTCCAAGAAGGAGACGTAAATTACAATAAAAATGATTCTCGATCACATGAAAATTCGTCTCTACTCGTTTGAACTCAATTTCTCCAACCTACGACGTTCAACTATACGTGACTCTTCCGTAACAAAAATAATCCCCCTATATCGTCGCGCGTGCTGTCTCGCGAGAAATCGAAGAAGTTCATTCGCAGATTCGCACACGGTGGGAAAACAGTTTCTGTTATTGTCGACTTTCTAAGCGAGAGAACGGGTTCGCGTTCGACCGATGCCACGACTCGCGCAGAAAGCGTATTTCCTTCGAC